TCCTGCTTCCCATTATTTTAAGCCTCAGCTATACTTTAGAAATATAAATTTTCAAGGTGTAGAATTTGCCAGTGGAAATCATGCTATTCTGCAGAACAAGTATCTCACATGAGGCTGATCTGATCACCCAAAGCGTCTTTGCCTGATGGCTCCTTACCTGATAACATATTGTCTGTTTTTATTGAGGGAAACTTCAAAGTCATTTCATGCTTGTGCCTATGAATCATCAGATGGTCCTCTGTTGGGAAGCGCTGTCAGACAAATAGAAAAAAAGGGAGAGGGGAGAGGAGCCATTCAGTTTTGTAATATATATTTTACATCAGAGAGAAAAAGTTTTGTAATATATATTTTACATCAGAGAGAAAAAGATTCATTCAGCACTGCAAACGTGACAAGGAAAACAAAAAATTAGTTCTGAAAAAGTGTGAAAGCATGGTAAGTAAAATGACAAATTATTTTACGCAACCACATATGCATTCATGTCAAACTTTGGAAAAGAACTACACGTCACGCTTAATTATCTGCCATATATATCTACAGATGTACCCCATGACATTTGCATAGTAGGTTTCTGTTTATGAAGACCTTGCACACTGATTATCTCATTAATTATAATTATACATATGATTTATAGTAACAGCAAATTATTTTGAGTGTTCTATACTCCATGCAGTGTAGTAAACCAACACTTTATTTTTAATTTTCAGGGAATGATATTATGGTTGTCAAAAATGCTGCGCCCAAATATTTTCAGCTGTCTGGCTTCTGGTCATATGGTGGAATTGGATTTCCTGGCCCTCTTGTGGTTGGGTGGGGCCATGTGAGTAGTTCTACCCATTGAGTCATGAATGGAAGTGACATGTCACCCAGATGTGAGCATCTATTTCTTGGGGCAAGACCTCTCCCTTTTAGCAAAGAGATTCACAATACAAGAAATAGTGGCCCCTCAATCATCCTAAATCTCTGAAGAATTATGAAGAGCATCTCTGAATTCTGAAGGATTATGAAAAATATCCTGCCAATCTACAACTGAAATGTATGCTTGGGCAACTGAAATAAGACTTTGTTGTGTCAAGTCATTGAAGCTTTGAACTAATTTGTTATTGTAGCAGATCCTAGCCTATCCTGACTCAGACTGGTATGTTTTAATAACTGAACTTAGCAGGGTATCTGCTTTATCAAAGTCAAATGAAAATTCAACAAAAGACAATAAAGTCTGCTGAATATTTCCGAATCTTTGACAATCTAGAAAATCTCTCAGAGCGTCCCAGCTCCTCAGGATAGCCATTATAAATTTCAATTACCATTGTATATTAAGGTAGAAATCTTCTCTGCAAACAGTATAATTTGTATTCACGGGAATGAGGGGATTCACTGGGCTAAATCCTTTGGAATATTCTAAAAGTAGTTCTTCAAATAAATATCACTTATTTCTTTGTCATTTGTATAGCATAAATTGGAGAGTACAGAATTTGCAACACATGGTGATAATGCCAGATTTCTGAATACACAGACGTCTTCATGACATGTGGGTGTTTCCTGCAGGATCATCTGGTCCTCTATAACACTATAGTAGAATGACTGCATCAAATAAGTGACACTACCATATGTGGCTTAGACACAGAGGTTAAATTTCTTAGTCTTTCTGTCAAAAGCCTTATTATAATTCTTTTCTGTAATATATACCAAAAAAACAACATGGGAATAGCCTTCCTTTGCAGCCATTTTGTTAGCCATTTTTGGCTCCATAAAATAATAACCTAAAATAGAATATAAACAAGAATACTTATTATATGCTACTAATAATCTCCATGATGCCTCATTATTAATTATAATTACATTCCAAATAAGACATTACAGGATATCTGTGATTTTTTTTTTTTATTTGGTAGGAAAATAGCAAATTGTAAATAACCAAAATGTACAGTCTGCAATAGATACAGAGCTGAGAGAGGCCACTGGAACTTAAAACGAGGTAAATGCAGAGGGCAAAGGAACAGTGAAATTAACATTGGACTTTGTGAGATCAGAAAGAGCAAGAGAAGCTTGTTTCTCCTCACTTTTGGGACAAAGCTAACTTATAAGGAGCCGTAACACACACACACACACACACACACACACACACAAAACCTCCCAGGTATTACAGGCCGTTCCTAATAGAGCAAAGGTTCTTTCCAGTGAGGGAAAAAGGGGGTGGGAGGGGAATCCATCCATCACCTCCAACACAGCGCAAGCACTGATAATTCATATTTACTCCCCTTTCCAATTCCCAGCCATCCTTTCTTCTCCATGCGGGTCCCAGGCTATGGAACATCGCTCAAGTAAATGCCATGAGGGACTGATTCACTAACACCCCACCAGGAGACCCTTGGAATCACTGGCCAACCACCATATTTTCTCAATTCTAATATCTCTTCAATTGAAAGATGCTCATATTTTTATAATAGCTTATCAAGAAAAAGAAACACTTCCACATTAAATAGAGACATCAAGTTTTAAATATGTCTTTACATTTAAATTTAGTGGGGGTTGAAGGAAGAGGCTTGGAATTTTACCTTAAAACCAAGAAACTATGTAAATTCTCAAGTCTCATGTTTCTGCAAACCTTTCCTCAGTTCACCCAGCCTTCTCAAGGAAATGACCTGCTCCTTCACTGAAGTTCAAGGTCATTTGAACTGCACCCCTTCAACATTTATTATCACCTCCATCTCAGAATTTACATTAACTTCGTAGGTCCTATTTCCATTCCCTCCTGTCTCTGAGGAATGTGCATCGCCCTCCCCCTCCACAGGATCCTGTACACCCCTATAGTCTGGGGAAGGGCACTCCAGCTGTGGTCCTTCAAGCCAGCATGCTCACTCCTCCTTGCCCTTGACTAAATCCAGCCTAGCGAGCCTTGACTTGATATATGTATACGTATAGCTGAGTCACTTTGTTATAAAGCAGAAACTAACACACCACTGTGAAGCAATTATACTCCAATAAAGATGTTAAAAAAACAAAAACAAAAACAAAAAAACCTTTTCTCAAGCTGCTTCCTTCTCAGGCTACCATTATAATCACTCTGCTTCCCGTCACTCCCTAGCACTCTTGAAAGGCTCCTCTATGCTGGCCACCTCCACTTCCTCACTACCCACTCACTCAGTCTGGCCCCCACCCCAACTCCTCTCACATAGGTCACCGGCAAACAGCCAACTGCCAAACCCAACAGCCCCTGCTCAGGCCTCTTGCTGTGCCAGCTCTAGCAGCGTCTGACACCAGTGACCACACGTCTGTAGCATTAATTTATTTATACCCTGCCTGATTCCAAAAAGGAGAAAAGATGGCTTATAGCAATACCTAAAATGGAATGGGGGAGCATCACTTAGAAGTAGGTGATTCCCAAAAGGGAAGGGATCCAAAAAGAAACAAGGCTAAAGCCAAAATGCAAGTCACTGGGCAGTCACTCTCAACCGGGGGCAATTTGGCCCCCAAGGGGACATTTAGTAATGCCTGGAAACATTTCTGGTTTTCACAACTGGGGAGCGCTACTGGGATCTAACAGATAGAGGTCAGGGCTGCTGCTAAGCATCCTATAATGCACAGGGAAGCCCCACACACATACACAACAAAGAATTATTCAGCCCCAAATATTGGTAGCGCCAAGCTTGGGAAATTCTGCCACACAGTCCAATGTCCTCTGTGCACTTCTTTTCTCTCTGACTTATCCAAATGCTGGATGAGGCTAAATACCCCTTTCTTAAAGGCTCTCCTCTACCATCATTCACAATCCTGGACGCTCCTGGAACCCTAACTTGCCATGAACCCTCTCTGGCCTTTGCTAAGTCTCTTGAGGATCCCTTTCCCTTAAATGCCCCTTCCACAGAGACACCCCCATTATCCTCCCCAAGTAAAGTAAATCCCCCTATGATAGTCTTCAGGGTGGCCTGTGCTCTTCCTTCATGGAAAATTGCAATTCATTAATTAATTGATGAATTTCTCATGTGGTTCCACATGTAATGCCTAGGCTAGAAGTTCCGTGAAGGCAGGGATACATGTGTTTTATGCACAGAGCAGGCCCCTCAAAAATGTGCTGAGTGACTCAAATTGAATAAAACTTAATGTCACATTTTTACAGCCAAAGCAAAGCAAACTGCTCAAGTTATTGGATTCTTTCTGGCTATTGAGACTCCTCCTTAAGGAAACTAAGTGGAAATCAGTTTTAACTTAGATAAGGCAATTTTCTGCATTCACAATGGAGAGTCCTGGTCTAGCAGAACTTTTCCCAGTAATTCAACCTATCTGTGTCTTCCCAGTGTTTCCTATTTCAAAAGGACCTCCAAAACCCGCTTGCCAAAATATAGTCGAAACTCAAAATAACATTCTCTACTGCTTTCCTTATTTATTAGGTAAAAACCAACATTCATATAAAAGCCCCTGCAGAATCTGCCAGAACACAAGCAAAGGAGGCTGGTTTCTCAGCTGGCGGCTGATGTCAACAGTGGCATCACGAGGCAATAACATTTCATGTTTCCGTGGCATATTCCCTCCAGGAAGCTTCCTGAACCCTCCTCAAACTCTCTGGGGAGATACAATGAAAAGGGTCCTTAATGGACATCACCTCTCAGGGACTCCCAGACATTGCTCTACGCTGTGCTGCCAACCCCACAACATAAACAGGCAAGAGAGTGGGGCTTGATTCCACCTGAAACTACTGGGCACTTCAGAGAAAGAGAGCATAACTACCCACATGCCTGTGCTCTGAGTTCTAAGCTTGTCCTTTATCCCATAAAATGAAGATCTTGGCATGAGAGCACCATGTGTGGTCATTGTCCAATGACTGGAACTTGGAGATATCCAAAGGGTCAAGTGTAGAAAAAGTCACCATCCTGCTCCAAAGGAAAAATGTCAAATTCTGATTTTAGATGATGGATGTTTCCAATTTCTTTCAAAGAGATGGGTTCTAGTACAATAGTAGCAGCAGTCACCATAGCAACAGTGGGCGTCAATTGAGCACAACGTGCAGGTCCCTTACTAAACACTCCGCACACAGTACCTCACGTAAGCCTTACATCTAATCCACTTGATGGCAGCCATCAGAGGCTAAAAGAGGGTTAACCCAGCATAGCAGGCCAACTTCCTCTCTCAAAGTTTAGATAAATGGAAAAACTATGGGTTCTAGATGAGTCATAGGGGGTTTATTTTACTCAAACGGGAAAACAAAACAAAATCGAATTCAGTCTCTGATGGTGAGCTATTTCACCAGTAATCCAAAGGCCCAGAATTCAAGTGGCTATTGTCAAAGAGAGCACCCTCTTTCCTCCTGTCTGAAATAACAATCCTGAACATCTGGTGGGCAGGATGCGGCTGGCTCACTTCCAGGGGAAAGTTCTGGATGGAAATGGCCAACACTGATGTATTTCAGAGGCTGTGAGGTAAGTAGTTCAAACTAGTCAAAGTGGAAAATGATGATGATGATGATGGTGATGATGATGATGATGGTGATGATGATGATGATGATGATGGTGATGGTGATGATGATGATGATGATGGTGATGATGGTGATGATGACGGTGAGGGGGACTTTGAGAGTATCCTGGTGAAGAAGAAAAGCCAACAGCAGGCATGACTCTGCCAAGTGAGAGTTGCCTCACTGTGGGAAGGTACTGCATCCCCAGCAGGCCACAGTGGAGGACCCCCCTACACTCACCTGGGAGCAGCCTGGGGCACTGCAGACAAATGGCCTCTCCTGCTCCAAATTCATCTCGGATTCCTCATAAATCTGAAGGGTCAGAGGGAGAGAGGAAGGAAAACAGAAATTCATGAATATCTCCTGCTTCTACCTGAGAAAGGCAATGGCTCGGAGCCCCCTCCTGTGCCAATTCCCAAATTAGATGAGAAGAACATAAACACGAACAACAGGTCCTGCCTTGCTGAAGTTTATTAGGCTCCCTGCAGTCCAAGTTCCCACTGTGTTTTCTTGAGTGCATATTTACTGCGCTTTGAAGAAAAAAATGCCAACAAAATGCAACCCAAAACAATGTCTATTGCAGCAGAAATTCTGCCTGGTGGGTGTTATTATCAGGTAAAACCCCACCTGTGCAAGGTAAAGAGCAAGAGAAGGGTAGTTACTGGGCAACCATCAGTGTGAGGACCAACCCTGAGCATCAGGTCAAATGATTCTCCCATGATCACCCCACTGAGATTCAGTATGAACAAGGGACGCAAGGTAGCCCTACAGCCAGCTTAGCAAATGACCCTGGCAGTGAGCCACGGTCTTAAATTCTCTTTCATCTCAGGCATTTGATGATGCCTCAACAAAAGCTATCCAAGTTGTGCAGAGGTGACGAGAAATCAGCAAATGCAAAAAGCATTACCTTAAATATTTCATTAATTTGGTTTTACAGGCTGATTTGAAATTAAAATCAGATTAAGGTGACTAACCCTCTGATCTAGATAAGTTGTCCGGAATAACAGGGAGAAACCTTATGTGGTGATCTCAGACATATGTTAAACTATAGTATGGTCTTTTCTTATGCAGAGGTTAGGTTCTAAGGTAAGTTCATTAGGCAAAAATTGAGTGTAATCAAATATCTTTGCAAATCTTCCCCCAAACCGATAAAAGTACAATATATATGATTGTGTAGTTACTAATCTATACGGTAACATAAATTTTTTTTTTTTAAATATCATAAGAAGTACTATACAATTGAAGTTCCACAATTTAAATAGTTTTCTAAATCATACCTTTCTTTTTGCCAGTTTTGGAACTGTGTTTAAGTAAGCTCCATGTGCTGCTGGTGGGACACGGCTTCATTATAGAACTAAAACCTACTGTTTTGTCTCTGAAGAAAGGAAGTCCTGTGCTTCCTTAAAATTCTACTTGTAGGTTATTCCAAAGGAGTCTTAAGTCACCTTCACCCTTGAAAGAGGAAACTCTGCTTCACTCATGGAATAGTAACCCTTCATCCAAGAAAACTTTATCATCTTGCAAAAAAAAAAAAAAAAAAAA